GACTCCCGCGGCCGATGGGAGACAGATCACGGCCAACGGTATGGATATATGGACGACAGATACGAGAGATCGGACTGAGATGGATATAGGGACGACATATACGAGAGATCGGACCGAGACGGATATAGGGACGACAGATACGAGAGGTCGGGTCGAGATGGCTACAGAGGTGGTAGGTATGAAAGAGGAGATCGGGACTGGGAACGACGAGATGGGTCGCGCGGTTGAGTGCGGGGGAGATGCGAGAGAGCAGCGCGACGAGTCGCGCGGATGGTACAACCGAGGGGACCGACGCGATGAGTCACAAGGGCGATATGACTCGGGGGACCGCCGGAATGATTCGCGAGGGCGGTATGTGCAAGGAGGGTCTGGAGGAGACCGCCGCAACGATTCGCGCGGTCGGAATGAGAGAGGGGGATATGGTGTCTCATCAGAACCATATCCCAAGTCGCCTGACCCCAAGGCAGCTAGGAGTTCGATCTCTAGAAGCGCAGACGACAGGTCATCTACTCCCAGGAACTCATGCGTCTACAGTAGAGGAGAAGATCATATCAAGAGGGATTGCCCGGACCTCAAACGGGCAATAAATGAGGGATTTGTCGTGCTTGACGACCGCAAGTACGTCAAGTGGGCAGATGGTCTGGGAGACGTATCGATGTTCCCTTCGATGAAGGAGAATGTCGAAGCAAGGAGAGTAAAGCCGAGTAAAGAAAAGGAGCCGATCAGGAGCCAGAGCATCAAGATAACCTTTGAGGGGGATATGGCGACCACACCCATAAGGGTGGCAGCCACCAAGTCGGCGAGAGGGTCTACATCGAAGAAGACTAACACGGATTACGTGATGGCGGAGAAGGACGGGTAGCGGGTCGATGGAGAGGAGGTTATCCTTTCGCCGCGAAAGTGGGGAGTGAAGAAGTTCTTAATGAAGAGTTCGCTGAACGAGATTGACACGGTCGAGCCACTGAGGCGGGCCCTTCGGCAACCCATGCAGTGCTCTATTCTGGGGTACCTGGCGGCATCGAAGCCGGCTCGTGATGAGTTACAGATGATCACGTGGAAGACTCGCATACCTCTATTGGAGGAGGGTCAGGGGGCCCCTAAGGCGGAAGCTTCTACAGTAGCAGTGACAGGGGTGACTGCCAGAGCAGATTGCATGGCGACAGTCCTTCTCGATGGAATGGAAGGTGTGACTCCAGACAAGTTTTATATACTTGGTAGCGGGGCCGTGGAGACGATTATAAACGATGGAGCGGTACTCGATGCTGTGATCGATAACGGCAGTGAGGCTGTCATCATAGAYGAGGACCTGGCAGTACAGGTTGGACTGGGCCTCGATAGGTCATACCTATTCGAGATAAAGACGGCTGATGGGAGAAAGCAACAGATCACTGGGGTTTGTCACAAGGCAGCCATAGAGGTCCAAGGGGTACGAGTGACCCTGCCTGTCTTTGCAGTCAAGAACTGCAGCTCCGACCTGCTCTTGGGTYGAACGTGGCTGAGCCACGTGCATGCGGTGACGATAGAGCGACCTGATGGGAGCCAAACATTGTCCATTAGGAAGCCAGACGGGACGCGGGTAATGATTGAGACAGTGGAGCCTCGGGACCCGAGGAACAGAGCAGCTCTCGCTGTGGGTGCGAGACCCAGTGATCAGATTAAGTCGTTACCTATCTCCGGCCGCGCGGTGCGATTTTGCGAGAAGAAATATGGACCGTTGCTCATAGAGGAAGAAGGTCGGATCGTGGAGGTGGAAAATTTAGGGAATCGGCTAATAGTGGACGGCAACTCGTACCCAAAGGAAAAAGATGAGGAATTTGGCGGTGTGGTATCCGTGTCTTTTTTAAGGGCACAGCCCCCTATGGGGGGCTACCCAAGCGACACAAGCGAGTAGCTCAAAAAGTTAAACCAGCGACGGTGGGCCGCGAGCGATCTGCACTTGAAGGGATATCAAAAGAAAAGATCGCGAAAGAGATCAAAGAAAGAAAGAGAAAGGGGCCGCAACGCCTAACGGAAGAGAGGATAGCAGGGACGGATATCGAAGATGAGAATTTGACCCCACAGGAGCGAGAACGTGTGATAAAAATCCTGAAGACATGTATAAGGCGATAGCTTTTAATGACGCGGAGCGCGGTAGGGTTGACCCTCGATACGCTAAGCCAGCAAGGATTTACACGATACCACATGTTCCCTGGAATGACGCTGGATGGAAATACGCCCAGAAGGAGAAGGAAAAAGTTATCGCTTTCCTGAAAGAAAAGATGGTTTCCCACGTTGCGGAGCCGTCTGATAGCGCTTATGCTAATCGATGGTTCTTCCTACGAAAGCCGAATGGCAAGATCCGATGGATCCAGGACCTTCAGAAGGTCAACGYGGTGACGATACGAGACGTGGGCTCCGTGCCACACGCCGATTTACTAGCAGAAGGCGCCGCAGGTAGGTCGATTTATTCGGTCTGTGATCTGTTCTCAGGTTATGATGAGGTGCCGCTTGACCCTAGAGACAGGCATCTCACGGCTATGCATACGCCATTGGGACTAATACAGATGATGGTTGTCCCTATGGGTTGGACTAATGGGGTAGCCGTTTTTCAGAGAGTCATCGTAGCCGTCCTTAAGGACTTCATCCCTGATAAGGTTGAAGTTTTTCTGGATGACTTTCCTATAAAAGGGCCAGTAAACAAGGATGAGGCAGAGGTTGCACCTGGAGTTAGAAGATTCGTCGAGCAGCACCTAACGGATATTTGCGCGGTACTCGAGCAGCTGGACGATGCGAATCTAACAGTCAGCGGAACAAAGAGCCGACGGGCCGTCTCGACTATTAAGATCTTGGGCTTTATTTGTGACTCGAGGGGACGCCGAGCAGATCCGGCGAAGTTAGACAGACTCCTGAACTGGCCGTCACCATTACATAGTCCAACCGAGGTCCGGCAGTTTCTGGGAGTGGTCGGTTACTGGCGTATATTCATACGAGGGTACGCGGAGAAGGCTGAGCCATTGAGACTACTCCTTCAAAAAACTGAGAAATTCTACTGGGATTCCTCGCAGGAACTCGCTATGCAAGAGCTTAAAGATGAATTTAAGGAGGGAGGACGCGTACTGGGCGTGTCGTTCTTTGATGATGAGGCTGGGAGACCCTTCATAGTAGCCACGGATGCTGGACCTTGTTCGGTAGGAGGGTTGCTGTCTCAGAAGGACGCTGAAGGGAAAGAAAGACCATTAAGATTTGAGAGTAGGACACTTAATATGGCAGAGCGAAACTACAGTTAATTCAAGAAGGAAGTATTAGCTGTTCTGCGGTGTCTAGACACGTTCAGACATTATATCTATGGACGACGGTTCATCTTGAGAGTGGATCCCACCGCGGTCGCCTCTGTCCTCCAGAAGGACTTTAGCCTGACAGACCCGACCATTGCACGATGGTTAATACGGATTCGACTATATGATTACATAGTAGAGAGGATATCTGACACTAAAAATGTCGTAGCGGATGGGCTCTCTCGGATCCCTCTTGAGGGAGAGCGCCCGATAGTAACTGGAGCCCTGACAATGGCGGACCCGAGACGCGCCGAGAGATTTCTGGTTAACCTTTACGAGGGCAAGTACCGAACGATCGGGCTATACCTGACGGGAGAGGAGAGTCAATATTTAGATATCCGGAGACAAGCAGCCCAGTACTGCCTTAGAGCGGGCCACCTTTTCCGAAGGCCAGTAGGGTCGGGGATGCCCTTACGAGTAGTCTGTGATCCTGAAGAGAGACAGACGATAGTAGCGGAGCTTCACGACGGGGTGGTCGGAGGACATAGAGGAGTCAGAGGGACCTGCGAAAAGGTACGCAGGCTTTACTGGTGGGAAGGACAGTATAAGGACGTCGAGAGATATTGTATGACCTGCGAAGAATACCAGAAGAGAGCCTTGTGAAATACAAAGAGTCACTTCATCCATCCTATCCAACCCGACCAGGAGAGAAGGTACACATCGATCTGGTGAAGATGCCGAAAAGGGTAGGCAATATGAACTATGTTATGAACATACGAGACGACTTCACGGGGTTCGTGGACGGTAGACCTATCAGGAGTAAGACGGCAAGGGAAGTGAAGAACTTCATCCTATAGTACTTATCTAGGTATGGTTGTGTCAGCGAGATAGTGATGGACAAAGGAGCGGAATTCCTGGCTGACGAGGTTCAGAATGAATTCAAGAGAGCTGGGGCGAGAGTTTCGATAGTCACTGCCTACCACCCACAGTCGAACTCCCCAGTAGAGAGAGGGCACCAGACCCTGATAGCGTCGCTATCTAAGTGGTGCAAAGGCAAGGACAGTGATTGGCCACGATATTTTCGATACGCAATTTGGGCGGACAACGTCACGGTCCGGGCTAGCACGGGATACCCTCCATACACCTTGTGGTTTGGACGGCATTGTCCGCTTCCCATAGAGTTTCACGTCGACAGCTGGACAACCGTCGACTGGGCGGAGGAGATGTCCAGAGAGGAACTCATAGCTGCCCGAACAAGACAGATAGCCTACGGTTTGGAAGATAACCTTATGACAGCGACAGGTCGTCTGGCAGTGGAAAAAGACAAAGGTAAAGAGAGATGGGATAATAACGTGAGAATCACGAAGGAAAGGGTGAGTGTAGGAGATATGGTCCTTCTCTACGATGCAGCGCTGGAAAGAACCTGGACCGGAAAACTCGTCAACAGATGGATGGGACCTTACAGAGTGGTTGAGGCACTCGACTGGGGTTTATATATGATAGCTGAATTAGACGGATCCAAGTGGAAGGACCCAGTGGCGGGTGCTAGGTTAAAGCTGTTTAGGCCCAGGCCCGCGCCCATCTTATCGCTGACAAGCCCGCAAGGGAAAGGGAAGGCCAAAATGAAGGATGAAGTCGTCTCGAGACAATATGAGGCGGGAGAGAGTTCCAAGAAAAGGAAGAGGCGATAGGGAAGAGGAAGAAATGGTTATTCATGCTCAGAAGAGCCAGACGGAGAGTTCGCATTAGACGAGCTGATGAATCGGCACCTTTCTCGGACCAACATCAGAAGAAAAAGAGGATCCTACCAAGACCAAAATCCCGAAGGAAAAGGAAAGTTAAGAAGCATCTTCTTAGCCCTGGAACTGATAACAAATTGAAACATAAGACAATTAAACGACGACGTGGCCGACCTTTACGGACAATCACCCTGAAACTCGTCCGCTTCATTTGACGCAAGTGGATATGGCTCGACAGGGACGTCGAGAAGTGGTTCGGGCTAACTGTCAGGCGGCCACGAGCAGTGCGCCGCCTTAAATCTGCAATTTCGGGACTTAGGCTCGGGGACAAGTCCGTGTTTTGACGGTACTCTGGTATGACCAGGCAGCAAAAATTAGGGGAACTCAGGGCACACTTGATTTTGGGCGAACTGAACCTTTCAAGTAACCCCCAAAGATGGCGAAGTGGGTAGCCGCTCTAGGCACATCTAGGGACCGTCATTCCCACACGTCCCGAGGCTAGACCTGGGATGGCTGGCTGTGGGGAGGCATAGCGCGTGTTGACCCCGCGACAATGCTTTTGCAGCATATGATCGGGCTGGAGTAGCGCCTTAAATTTTATCAATTTTTGGTACCTAATTTAAATATGGGAGAAAAGATTGGGAACAGTAGGAGGGAAGAGAAAAACGTAATATTCCTTAATTCCCCTATTCTTTCGCAGCCTATAAATTTTCGGGAAATACCTCGTTATTTTACGTTTCTGGCAATAAAATATAACAACCAGAGAAAAGGATTAAGAATGGTAAAGGAGAGAAAAAAAGAGGGAATTTCAACCATTTGATTAAACTCCCTCAGAATGCATTTTTGGAGAACCTACGGCTAATTCACTATTTCAGACAATAGAGTTAAGGAAAAGGGAGAACGATTAAAAAAGGGTGGAACAAACAGGAGCTAATGATTATTCGATGCCTGGCCCGGTTTTTGCTTGGGATMCCCGYCGTCGGCTCAGAACCCCGATTTGATCAAATTCCCTGAGCTCAATTTTTTTTTACTATCCCCCATTGATCGAAACTCTCTATGATGTGTCCCTTATTTACCTGATTGCTAGCCTTACTGAACCCGACGGAACGGACGATGCCCGCATGAATATGGACAGCGTGGGGTCGTGTTACATTGGGCCTACGGCATGATGACAGGTTCGGTACCGGACATGTTTAAGGATCGGCTTCAGCTGGAATCGGCGTACTTCAGGTTCGGGCACCAGGGTGATTTATTTCCAGGATCGACATCATCACAGCTATTTATTTCAGGTTCAGCATCATCATGACTATTTGTTACAGGATCGGAACCGTCACGGAGGTTTACCTTCAGGTATGGAGCCACTATGACGATGTATTTCAGGTTCGGGATCCTAGTGGTAATTTATTTTCAGGCTCGGCGGTGATTTTTTTTCAGCTCCGGCACCGCTGCGGCAGACTATTATCCGGATTCGGCACCCTCGAGGTGGCATGTGTCAGGTTCGGTGCTATTAAGACAATTTATTGGGGACACTGTGGCGATTTATTTCAGATACGCCGCCGCCACGGCGGCTTATTTCAGGTTCTGCGGCTTTGGGACGATTTATTTTCAAGTCTGGAGACTGCCGCGGTGGCCTGTCTCAGGCCCGCAACCTGGACGGCAAGTTATTTCAAGTTCGGTGCTATCACAGGTAATTAACTCAGGCTTGGCACCATCACTGCGGCCATCTATACCCGGTTTGGTACCACTATGGCGCGTTACAGCGGACAATCTGTGAAGATTTCCGGAACGACAGGCTGCCTGAACCGGAACAGGATAACTGAGGACTGACCCGGAGGCGGCACGCCTGGGCCTTAAGGGCCTTGGTACCACGACGCCCAGTTGTTGACCCGAAGACGGTGCTCACGTACCACCCGTAATGAGCCTGTGCTGGGCCTGGTACCGACGGTCTCGACAGTACAAGCAAATGTGGAATGAATATAGGGGGGAACAGAGGAGAGATCAGGGACAGCATGCAAGGTGTACCTGGCCCACAACATAGTGGGATCCAGGCAGGTCAACGCGTTGGGAGCAGCATGCAAGGCGTTCCCCGCCCACGTAGCAGGCGACCAGTGTGACCAGGATGCGCTGCAACAGGGTGCACCAGGGGAAGCAACGGCAGGGAATGTAGCGAACGTACATGTTCGTGGAGCGCGGTGGTTCCAAGCTGCTCATGGTCAACGGAAGCTATGGCAGCAGTGTCTGTGTGTATGAGAGAGAGAGAGAGACTAAGTAGTGAGAGAGTGAGACACTGCGCAGTGTGTGAGCATGAGAGAGAGACTATGCAGTGTGAGAGAGAGGGACTGAGCAGCGCGAGAGAGAGGGACTGTGCAGCGTGAGAGAGAGGGACTGTGCAGTGTGAAAGATGAAGAGGGAGTGAGAGAATAAGTAAGGGATATTGAGAGAGAGTGCAGAGGGTGATATGTGTGGGAAAGGAGAAAACGGTAAGTGTTCATTATTATTATTATTATTATTATTATTGTCATTTATTTTTCCTATTGTGATTATCTTTTATATCTATCTTTCCACATGGCTAGAAACATCTCACCCGCTGATGGTGAAAATCTGCTTGTTGGGCGCACGGAAAATGGATGCTAGATGGAGAGGGAGAGTGTGCAGAGAGAGAGAGAGAGAGAGAGAGAGAGAGAGTGCAGTGAGAGAGAGAGTGTGTGCAGTGAGAGAGAGTGTGTGCAATGGGAGAGAGCGTGTGCAGAGAGTGTGCAGTAAGAGAGAGAGAGAGAGTGTGTCGTGAGAAAGAGAGTGCGTGAGAGAGAGAGAAAGAGCAACAGGCAACACTGGGAGAGAGAGAGAGAAAGAGAACGAGAGAGAGAGAGAGAGAGAGAGAGAGAGAGAGAGAGAGAGAGAGAGAGAGAGAGAAGGAAAGAGAGCATTGGGAAAAAGAGTCTATTGATTGGTTTGTTGTTCCGACCCTGTGGACAAACTCGCTAGCTTCTCTCGAGTAATTATTGGAGAAAAGAACCTATTGACTGGTTTGTTGTTCCGACCCTGTGGACAGACTCTCAAGCTTCTCTCGAGTAATTATTGGAGAAAAGAGCCTATTGACTGGTTTGCTGTTCCGACCCTGTGGAC